TCCAATCGTCCAACTGGAATCCTTTTTGGGTCCCGTAACATCCATCCTGTCAGAATAGGTCTTGGGAGCCCAGGTGTTACTAGAACTAATGGTGTCTCCTCACCAGCGTGAGCCTCCAAACATGAACTTTAAATGCATGCATTAATCTCCTCTTGTAACACTTTAACGTGTTTTAAAAGGCTTGTATCATGATAAGTTACACCTCCCAGACTAAAGATAAGATAAAACATTATTGTAGATACTATTAAGACGTCATTATTTATGAAATAGAAGTTATTTTCCTGAGCCATTACTTCAGCCAAGAAATAAGATGCATGGATTTGATGAAACCACGCTGTCTCATGCTGTTCTATATGTGTAACACACACACGCACGCGCCCACACACATACTGCAGCATGTTAGAATAATGTGAATGACTAATTTAACTACACTGAACTGCTTTTGTAAAAATTTGATCTCTTATTCTGGAGTAAAATAAAGAAACAAGCTAAATCATCACGTTTTAACTCACAGAGGCCTGCAGGTCTTCTGTTTTATGAGCAGAGCGCTGATAATCCGCTTGTTATGAGCGCTGAACGTTATTCTGCCGCTGCCGTGCGGAGCAGTTGGGAAACACGTTTCAAACACGGAACCGAGTCCAGCTACGGAACCGAGCAGAATTCTGATGACGTCACACCGGTGCGCGAAGGTGCGGGATCCAAAACACAGGAGAGGAGGGAGAGAGGAGGTAAACAGCGAGTTGAGGAACTGAACTGATGTCTTTGAGCTAAAGTGTACACCCCCACGGTTTAGACACGGCACTCATGCAGGTGTCTCTTTCCGTTCCGACGCCCCTACACGTAATATTTTTAATTTATTAAGCCTACAATTTATTTTTACTCAGTAACAGATATGATTTAAAATGTAGCGAATTACAATTCTTTTTTAAAAACTTCCCCTTCCTCCTTCAAGTAAAAGTAAAAGCACAGCTTTTGAAAATATATGTGTCTCTCATATAAGCTCTTTTATATGAAAATATATGAAATATATGTATCTCTCACATACGCTCCTTATATATTATCATAAATACATTATTATATGCCTTTTCATGGAATCTTGTTATAATATCAAAAACCTCTCAGTGCCTTTTCTGCACAAAGCTCTAACCAGCTGCATACCTGGAAGGGAGTAACACATCCCATCTCCTGTCTGCCTTATCTCACAGCACCAACTGTTCCGAGGATGTTGCAGGATGTGTTCCTGGCCATCTCAAGGTTGCATGTTCTTGGGATGAATTGGTCTTTCATTAACAAGGCTATTAGCTGACGTGCGTCTGCAAGTGCAGATGGCAGAACTACGTATGTAACATTCCATAATCTGTTAATAAATATAGCTGCTGATCAGAGAACGCCAGAACACTTGGATGCAGCAGACAAGAGCTAAACGCGGGGTTCTAGCTGGAGCTGCATGTGTTCTCCCCTCTGGAGCGGTGAAAAGAGACTGGTCTTCTGATTATTTGACTCCACATTCAACCAACGAAAGGTGTTTCTCTCCATTTTCTCCGAACCTGTTTTTGGTCTAACAGAAGAAAGACCAACACTTTTAAAAACGACTTAAAATGTATAAATTTACAAAAAAGCTACTCAATTACAGTAACGTGAGTAAATGTAATTCGTTACTTTCCACCTCTGCTCATGTGGTTCATTTAAATTTTTCTTCTTGTTGCAGTAGGAACTTTTGAAGCAGCGCCAGTTAGGGAAATAATTATTTGTGGACACCGGCTGATAAAAGCAGACAAGTAAAACATTAGATTAAGTCATCTTCTCTTCCATCTTTTAATAAATACACAAATACACAAATACACAAATACAGTCTGCCAGCAGAGCAAATGCAGGCAGCGTTTCCCTCTCATGTGACGTTTGCATGGATTTACTTACTGACGTTATTTTTAACCTGTTTTTCAAAGTCTTTTGAAAAATGTCGAATAAAATAAAATTAGTGTTCTGCTTTGGGATGTCAGCACGATTTGACACAAAATTGTTTTTACATTTAATTCTTCTGTGGAGCAGGTGTTATTTGTAAAACACACACACACACACACACACACACACACACACACACACACACACACACACACACACACACACACACACGCGTGTGTGTGCGCAAAAAAAATGAAATAAAGGCCTATTATATAAATGTTTTTCAGGTTTTTTTTCCAACCTGAGAAGTCTTCTTCAGAATAATTCCTGAAAAGTCATAATTTTTCCTTCCCCAAAATAAAAATTACATAATTTATAAGCCCAGAGAATTGGTTTAAATCCCTAAAGTGTTTCTGTTCCGGTTGCATGGGGTCATTCCTCCGCTGTCCTGACATCACACACCCTTACATGTGATCCGGCAGCTTTTCCTGACAGTGAAGCTCACAGGAACTTCCCTGTGGGACCCTTACAGAACTACAGGCTCTGAGATAATAAATGTTTGATACCAGGCTCCATTATGGCCACAGGTCTGCTCCTCTGAAGACCCCTGGTTCTGGATCCTGTTGTTTGGTCTGCAGCAGCTGACAGTCGGTTGATTATCAACTCAGATTTCAAAGCATCTGCTTACAAATATGTCTAACTCTCGGCAAACCTGGTACCAGTTCACACCACATGTAGATCCATAGCCTCCATACAATAATTAGTTCTCCAAGATACGGATGGCCTGTTTTAAGAAACAAAATAGCTGATTTTTAAAAATATTTTTACAAACTTTTAATCGAGTCTTCAAGCTGCACGTAAAACGATCTTGTTTCCAGACGATCAGTTTGTGCACAACATGTTTTAGAATTTATTTAGTCAATAAACTTATAGTCATCAAATATTTTTGACTTTCTTTACCAATGGCCCAAGTGGCAGTTCTATAATTGCTGTTAAAGGGATACAGCACAAATTTTAAATTTTTTTTATTTTTAAATAATTTTCTTGAGTCAGAATGTGCTAAAATGATCCTTTAATGAAAGGCCACCCAGCCCCCATTGCCCCCTGTGGCCAGAATATTCCACTTGCAACTTCTGAGTGTCGGTCTGGTCTGTTGGGCCTTTTGAACTGACCTGCCTGGCACTGCAGTCTGGTTCCAGCACATTTCCTGCATGTTTTAGATCATGACACTAAGGAAGGCTGGGGAGACGTTTCAGCTGTAGATTAAGGTGTTAAAAAATAAAACACACAGTTAGGAGATAACATTTGCTTTCAGTTCTACAAACGGACACTAGGGATGCTAAAAGCTAGCTAAAACTGCCAAGTCTCCATTCAAAGATGTGTGTAACACATAATTTTCACATTTTCCTATGTTTTTTTAGTTTTTTAACAGACTTTGTATCATCCATCGAATTAACGATGGATATTTAATTAATGATGTTTATTGCATCATAATTGTTCTTGTAATTAGACTAACTGATGTGAAAGTTTGTATTTAGTGAAACAAGAAAGTTGGCAGATTTTATTCCATTTCTTTCTTGAAATTTATTATGTTTGAACAGTGGCGGCTGGCCAGTAGAGGGCGATAGGGCGCCGCCCTCCCAGTTTTTCCGTGTTTTTAATTTTTATTAAAAAAAAAATAAATAAAATTAACAATAATAACATATTCTAAGTTAATTGTGTGTTTTGTAACAAAAATAAATCATATATATATATATCTATATTGGTCTCTGCCGGTCTCTGCCGAGCGGTGGAGGCTGTGTGTGCTGTTTTTCAATCGCCCAAACAGGACGAGACCAGCTGTCCAATTGCTGACAAGAATATCAAACGGTAGGAATGGGAATGCATCCAATCAGCGTCGACGTTGTTTCAGAACGTTTCAGAAGCATGATGGGCGATGGAGCTACCGCCAAAGGATTCGTTGGTGTTCGGTAGAACTCGGCAGAGTCGTTTTTGGTCGTGACGCAGATGTAACATGGACGCCGCCGGTGACTACAACCAGCATGGATACCGGATCTCAGCAGCCACTGAATTCAGTTCGGTCTCTTCTCCAGCATCCGTTCGAGAGGAGAACTATGGTGGAAAAACTTAATGTCAAAGAGCTTGGACCAGATCAGCCCGACGTAAAGATAAGCCAGCAGGAGAAGGAGAGAGGTAAACTGTACACACCAGGCTTCTCCCAAAATTGGTACACCAGGAAGGCTTGGCTAGCTGGATGCAATCACGCTAATGCGTTATTTTGCTTTCTGTGTTTGTTATTCAAAACGGCTGGGACAGATAAGGCATGGATGAGTCAGGAGTTACAGACATGAAACATTATTCTGAGAAGGTGAAGAAACACGAGTCATCCCGGGCACACATGGGCTGTGTCTCAATTCAGGGTCTGCATCCTTCGAAGGACCCAGCCCACCCGGCCGACGTGGGCTGCGTCCTCCGTCGGCCGGGTAGACCGGATGTTAACGGCTGTGAATTTGGACAGGCCTAGCCTTCATGAACTCCCTCCGCGAACGTTCTGTCGCCTAGCAACCGTGGAACCGCTGGGCAGAAGGGAGAAGGAACTTTAAACGATGGAGCTCGATGTTTTATTTAGCTTTTTAACCCCCAGAAACCCAAATTTAGAAAACAACTGCAAAATCTTTTTTTAACCTTTCACATGTTGTTCTAGGAGGCCAGATAAACGGGCCTATTTACACATTTTAACAGTCAATAGTGTTGCAGAACTGAACAATAGGACCTATTAGCAATGTAAATGTGGTTTTAAAAAGAAAAAAAAATGGGGAAGGTTTATTTTTGTAGACTTAAATCTGATGTTGTAATATTACAACCGTGGGTCTCTGGGGGTTAATCATTTCCTTGACTGTTGGAGAGCTAATTCAGAGAAAATACTTTAGACAAGCTGAGCCTGAGCAAAGATGTGATAATAGTTTTTAATACTTTCTAAGGGTCTTAATTTGACCAAAACCGATTTATCACCTTTTAAGACTTTTCAAGACCCAGCGGATACCCTGTAATATTAAACAATTCACATTTGTAAACAAAAATAAAATTCAAGAGTTTAATGCAGAACTGATTTTATTTAGATATTTCTTTTATATGTACATGTTTAATCTTTATTAACCATTTTTTTCTAGCAAAGTTAAAAGCTGTCAAAGTTCTCCCTTCTCTCCTGTGCCCTCTGCTGCTCTGCCTCCCTCTGCAGCCTCATGTCCTCCCAGATCAGATCCAGAAGCTGGTCATCGCTGTCACCTTCCCCTGGATGCCCATTTTCTCCAGAATAGTCTTAACAAACATGTAAGAAACGAAACAGGAAGAGAAAAGAGGACAACGGGTTATTCCTTTCATGTTTTCGCAGAAAAAATAAACTCAAAGAGTTTTTAAAATATGAGATGTTATTGTACCTCCATGCCACAGCCGCCGAATACTTTGCTCCGGTGATCATGTGGTCCGTCTCCGCCCTAAGCTTAATAGATTCCCTGGTTTTCTCTTTTGTTCCTAAAATACAAACTCCTATTAAAATCAGGGGGAAAACGTAGCGGGAGAACACCGAGCGCGGCCGAACATACGAGCCGAGACCGCAATACAAGCACTTTTACTGTAACATTTCTAACTAAAATAACGTTCATGTATCACAAAAAGTCCTTAACCTAACAGTTTTCAAGTTTATACTGACATTTATATGCGCAATCCTCTCCGACAGCTCCCGCTTCACTGTCCGCCATTGTTTTTAAGTTTTTCTGCTGGCCGGCCCGCAAGGCATCTTGGGAAATGCTACCTATTGAAGGATACACCCGACCCATCCTTCAGTCAGGCGAAAAGAAGGCCGCATTCGTCGACCGCATTTGAAGGAGTCTTCGAATTGGGACAGGCCTAGTCGTGGCGCTGTGACGTAACCGGCCGACGAATCCGGCCGACGTAGGATGCAGACCCTGAATTGAGACACAGGCATGGACAACAACACGGTGAAGCTAGCCATGCTAGGCAGCAGAGCTAACGTTGCCATGCAGGGAACAACAACAGCTGGGTGCAGAGGTAAGCTGTACATTACATTTCTGTGAACAAGACAATCAGAATCAGAAATCCTTGGTTATCCCACAAACCGGGACATTTGTTTAATAACATGTTTAATGTGAAATAACTGTAAAAACTAATTTCAACACACATACTTATTATACATATTTAATCACGTAAATGTGTATTTCATGTAAATTTGTACATACATCAATCTGATTCCATTTTACTTGTTACACTTCTGCTGCAGCAAACAAATTTCCCAACTTTTGGGACAATTAAACATTTCTGATTCTCAATTAGATGTTTTTACCTCAAATGTAAAAACATCTGATTCTCAATCAGATGTTTTTACATTCGAGGTAAAAACATCTGATTGAGAATCAGAAATGTTTTATTGTCCCAAAAACTGGGAAATATGACATTTGTAAGAGGATACTGATGACATTATTTCCTATGAAAGTGTTTCCTATGTACTTATCTGTTGTTTTTTATTCATCATATGACAGGTTTTTCACACCATCCTGAGCCATGCAAAAGAAGATTCTTGTCACCACACCCATGACCACAGCCGAATCAGAAAGGTGCTTTTCTACTTTAAAGAGGATTAAGACTTTCCTTGAGGAACACCATGACACAGGATGGGCTGAATGCTCTTGCCATGCTCTCCATGGAAAAAAAGCTTGTCACAAACATTCCTGACTTCAATAAAAAGCTAATCGAGAGCTTTGCCACTCAGAAGGACAGAAGGGCAAAATGTCTGTACAAATGAGGTATCACACACACACATGCATCCACTTGATCTTTGTATAAAGTTGACCTTGGCACAACACTCCAGAAATATTTAACAGTGTAAATTTCTGGCATTTTGTCTAAGTAGTGTTTACTACCATTACTGTAACAGTGACCTGCTCATAATTTTTGGTGTTCACTCAAATGTTGAAATTAAACAAAATGTTTTTGTTACTTGCCTCTTGCATTGCCTATTTACCATTTATGGTCATGTTATTTTATGTGCAATTGAATGCAGTATTTTTCAACCTTGGTCTGCAAGGCAGCGTGCCAATAGTCAGACACACCTGGATTAATCAGTTTGTCCAATGATGTAAGACAGGAAATAAAAGAGCTGTGCTTAATTCAGGAAATAGTGAAGTTGTGCACAAAGCTCAGAAAGCACAAGTTTGTTTAAAAAAAAAAATGCCACAGCCCCACCAAAAATATTTTTCACCAGCCGCCACTGTGTTTGAATCAGGCTTTTATTTTGTAAAACTGTTGTGTTACATGTTCAGATGCTGTCTACACTTTGAAGGGTAAGCACAACTGAGGTTAACAGCAGCCTGATTTGCTGCTATGTGTGACATCTATAGACATCTTCTAGCTTCACGTGGTTCAGATGGAACCAGGTAATCATTTCTGCATCCAGTTAACCGTCAGGACTTTTTTAATTTTAGCTCCTTCCTCATGACTCCTGCAGTTTGTCAGCAACACCTAAAATTTGGGAATTTATCAGGAAAAGTGTTAAATGAATGTAGAATAAAATCTAAAGAATAAATCTGATTCAGATGTTTAGATTGGTATTCTGAGTGCCAGTTTGGTCTGATTTGACACGTATATATTTTTTATGAGTTTTTAGTTAGATTTTCTGCTCAGCACCACAAAAGGTTTTCCTCTCAGTTGCATTATTTTGCTTTAAAATCCCCCTAATGAATCTGAAGATTAGACATCAATCTAGCCTGGCCTGCCAGACGCGTCCTCTGTTTAATTCTGCACAGAGAATGAGTCTGGTAACTCACAGACAGAGAGGCACTTGAGGGGCGGGACTAGGCAGCTCAAAAATGACCAATCAGAAAAAAGACGGAAATCCCGACTGTACCGCACGACGCGGTAGATTTCTAGTTGTAGTAAAAAAAATGGAGTCTGGCAACGGCGCAAACATCTTTTATTTTTTTAGAAGAAATACTTTTAGCGCTTCTACTTGTGGTTTTGAAGACATTTGAGTCATTTAGAACAGATGAAAGAGTCGCAGCAAACTCCGCCGCTGTCTTCGTTGTTTATGAGAAACTGAGCGCCGCTGTGTGTGACGTCTGCGACGCTGTAGCTTTTTTTAGCTGTAGTAAAAATGGAGTTTGGCGACAGCACAAACATCTTTGTTTAGAAGAAATGCTTTTAGCGCTTCTACTTGTTGTGGTTTTAAAAACATGTTCAAATCATTTAGAACAAAGGAAAGAGCCACAGCGAACTCCACTTCAGTCACCATGTTTATGACGAACTTGGCGTTGTGGTGTGTGACGTACGATACTCAGCTCTGATTGGCTTGGTTAGAATTCTCACGGGTAGCGATGGGTACCGAATTCGGTACTTTTTAAGGTACCGACCGAATTCCATAATACCGACTGAGCACTGATTCACGTCATTTGAAACGGTGCCTCGTTTCGGTACCCGTCCTTCATAACGAGAATTTGCCTGGACAGCTGCGCATGCGCAAGAGCGTTATGTCGTTGGTCGCTGCGAGCCAGTTGTAAACAGAGCAGCATGTAGAAAGAACGCAAGCTAAAGCTTGGGTCCACTTCACTAAATGTGATGGGTAACTGGGTGATGATGAAACCAGCGACAACGATCTAAGTGAGACATCCTCATCTTAATCTGCTCCAGTAGGTAAATAAAATGTTTAAGATACCGTTAGCTTGATTCGTTAGCTTCCGTTCCGCTAATGGTGCGTTCGCTTTCTCCTCGGAACTCCGAATTTCCGGCTAGAAGAACATGAACGTGCTCTAAAGTTTGGCTTCACTTTACTAAATGCGACGGGTGATTGGGTGAAGATGAAACCAGTGACAATGATCTAAGTGTGAGGCACCATCGTTTTAATCTGCTCCAGCAGCTAAATAAACTGTTTGAGATAACGTTAGCTTGATAAATTAGCTTCCATTGCCACCGTTGTTATCAGCTAATGGTGCGTTCACTTTCTCCTCGGAAATTCTAACTTCCCAGTAGGAAAAATCAAAGAAAAAGGACGGCAAAAGGAATGAAGATATGTCACACAGTGGAATGTGTGTTTTTCTGTTGCTTTAAATTCTTTTATTAATTGTTGGAATTTCTTAACAGTTTTGTATTATTGCATGATTTTGTCGTGTGTTGTTGGTTTTATGGGCCTGTTTAGTTTATATTGTTTTTGCCACTGTTGACATGACAAGTCACCTGAAGAGGTGGGCGTGACTGGGAGAGCGCACCAGGTGCGCATAGTTAGCGGGCTGATAAAGGGACGAATCTGCAGAACTGCAGGAGGACAGAGGAAAAAGAGACCAAAGAAACCCGAAGGCAGAGGGACTGGACTAATAGGTGGACGTAGCACGGAACGCGTTGGATCGCAGGAGGACCGGTTCATCCCTGGCGTGCAGCGACAACGAGTGGGAGCAACGCCTTTGAATGACAGCAGGGCAGAGGTTGGACCTCTGCCTGCATCCGTGAGTAAACGGCTTCCTCTGTTGTATGCTGGGTGACGCGCCGTATGGGCCGATCCTACGAGAAAGAGTTTGCACTGCGCCAGTACGGACAAAAGTTCTGCCCCAGTGTTCTGTCCTTGTCAGGGAGGAGCGGCGAGAGCCCCCGGGAGAGCACGCCTGAGACGAGTGCTTGCTGAGAGCGACCAGAGACTGGAGTCGGACGCTGAAGCCGGGACGCCGCCTTTCCCATCCTGTTCGTGACGTTGTGGATCTGGGAGGAGCCCAACTATCTTTTTGAAGAACGTTTTAAACTGTTTTTATGGACTCAAACTCTTAGTTGTATATTTTTAGACGGGCTTTTATTTAGTTAATAAAAGGGGTTGCAGGCAATCTTCTGCTCTCTGGTGTCTCTGTCCCTCTGGTTTTGCACCCTCGCTCTCCACCTGTGTCGTTGTGAACCCCTGTGTGACGCTGGAGCTTTGCCGCTCCGGCGTTGCCTAGGTTACATAATTTGGCGTTGTTGGCAGGACACAGGTTTGGGAGCAGGGTTGTGTGCCTAGGGGCGGAGACGAGAATGATGATGCCTGTGTATCCAGGTGCCCCTTGGGTACCAAAGTACAGGGGTCCGGATGCAGATGTTTCATATGGGGATTGGAAGGAGCAACTGCAGGGGTTGTTAAATGCTCAAGAGATGGAGGAACCCAGGAAGATAGAAATCTTAATTGGGGCTCTGAGTGGTGAGCCAAAACGTCAAGTTGCTGTGTTGGAAGAAGCAGGCAGAAACAGAGTTAAGAAAATTTTTGAGTATTTGGATTCTCTGTATGGTGACAATACTCCTGTGGCAGTGTTAAGGTCACAGTTTTTCAGTTGTATACAGAAACCAAATGAGTCGGTGAAAGCATTTGCCTTAAGATTAAGGGAGCTATATTGCAGGCTACAGCGGCGCAGCCCTGACCACGCACCTGCTGAGGAGAGCCTGCAGGAACAGATGCTGTTGGGTTTGTGTGAAGGCCCACTGTCACAGACTCTGCGAGCCTATGTGCGGCACCACCCTGAAGATGACTTTGCAACTGTCCATCGGGAGGCTTTACTGTTAGAAGAGGAACAGCTGGGACACCAAGGACTGCAACTACTTGCTTCACAGTGGGTGAGTCTGTAAGGAATAAACCATCGTGTGAACCAGACTGGAAGGAGAAGTTTAAAAAAGAAATTCTGGACGATGTAAAGAGTCAAATGAGAGAAATCGTAAGAGATGTTTTTGATGAGATTAAACCTCTCCTGCCGCAGCAAAGTCAGACAAGTCCAGTTCCTAATAAACCAAGATTTAAACCAAAGCGCTCCAGTTACACCAATAGC